ATGTTCTTAAACGACTTAGAAGATACATTTTTAAAAAGTGGTGTTGAAGGAATAGATGTAAATATGTTTAAAGTTTTCTTGTTATTATATGCGGACGATATCGTAATTTTTGCAAACTCAGCAGAAGAACTTCAACACAATATATGTCTCTTGTATGATTATTGCAATACATGGAAGTTAAAAGTCAATGTATCTAAAACGAAAGTTATGATTTTTAAAAGAGGTGGTAGACTTCCAAGTGATCTTCAGTTTTATTATGATGGTAATTTGATTGAAATTGTTAATACATTTACATATCTTGGTATTGTATTTACTTGTGGGGGATCAGTTACAAAAGCACAAACAATGTTAGCTGGACAAGCACAAAAAGCTATTTTTAAACTAAATAAATATTTATATAAATTTACGTATATTAAACCAAGGCATAAGCTAAACCTTTTTGATACATTAATTACACCTATATTAAACTACGGTAGTGAGATAATGGGTTTTACGGTTAGCCAAACAATAGAACGGGTACACTTATAATTTTGTAAAAAGATTTTGGGAGTTAAAAAAACTACACAAAATGATTTTATTTATGGAGAACTTGGTAGAATATCATTTCATTGTAGACATCTTTTCAATATTGTAAAATTTTGGATGAAAATATTGTGTAGTAATGAAAACAAATATGTTAGTAGAGTTTATAAATTGTTGAAAAGTGATATTGAAAATAACCCAAATATAGTAAACTGGTGTTCGAAATTAAAACAACTTTTATGTTCTTTAGGATTTTATGATGTCTGGTTTCAACAGAGTGTAGGAGATATTGATATGTTTCTAGCAATTTTAAAGCAACGTTTAAAGGATAATTTTGTTCAAAACTGGCATGAAAGATTACATAACTCTAGTAGAGCTTTATTTTATAGGACAATAGCAAATTTTGAGTTTCAATCATATCTAGATATTTTTAATGCAAACAAATTGTGCCAGGCTATGGTAAGATTACGAGTTTCCTCTCATAGGCTACAAATAGAGGCTGGACGTTGGTCCAGACCTACAAGAACTCCAGTTAATGAACGAAAATGTTTAATTTGTAATGTTTTAGAGGATGAATATCATTTTATAGTAGAATGTTCAATGTATACTGAATTAAGGAAACAATTTATTCATAAGAAATACTGGAAACATCCAAATATGGTAAAATTTATTGAATTGTTAAACAATGAAAATGATACAAATAGAAAGAAACTAGGAATTTTTGTATATAAATCTTTTGAAAAGAGAAATGAAATGCTATACGGTTCAGTTGAGTAATGACTTATTTTTGTTGTAAAGCTACCTATATGCATAGTTGTAAAATGTGAATTTAAAACATCGTTCTAGATAAAAAAGACATGTAGAAAATTGATATTTAATGCAATTTTCATGTTTCATGCTTAAATTTAATCCATGATTCCCGTCTTGCATTTTATTTCGGTAAGGCTGGTAGTTAAAATGGATGTAATTTGTATGTTCTTGTTATACTATATATATAAATATTGTTATTATTGTACTAAATTCATGCAAGGGTTATCTTTCCTTTTACGAGAAAGATAACATATTAGTCCATGTATCTCAATGTATATATATATATATACAAATTCTGATTGTAATTTAAGGAGAAAATAATGTTTTTCAGATTACTAGTCTTAACAAATTTTTATTAAAGTCATACTTTAAATGATATGAAATGAAATTATTAAGAATATTAAGCTTTCGTATGTCATGCTTGACCTTCTCCAATGAAAAGTTTATGTAAATCTAATATTAATTTTGTTCGCTGTATTATGCACATAAATCATGCTCATTTTGTATTGTACATGTATATATGTATGCTTGTATTGCCATCATGGGCGAATAGCCTTATGGAATAAATGAAATAAACTCTCTAATTACATGTATAATCATATCAATTAATACTGCTCGATGGCCTAGTGGTAGTAACCTACATGTAGTAGGCGCAAGCTCGAATCTCGGACAAATCCTGTGTGTAGTTTTCATAAATTGATTTTTATTATATCTTTTAACTTTATGAAACATAAGTTGATAAATCGTGTGTTTCATTTCTAGCACTTTTTTATTTCATAATTTTGATAAACAGTCAAGTTTTGCAAAATACAAAAAGTATTATAAAAGAAAACATAAAAAATCACTTTATCGAACCTACAGTCTTCAATTTGAAACTAACTTAAAATCTAACATCTTGTCATCGAGGCTTGTAAATCGAACCTACAGTCTTCAATTTGAAACTAACTTAAAACCTAACATCTTGTCATCGAGGCTTGTAAAGCAAGTGATATGATTATAATTCTATTTTATACATGTACCGTTGAACGTATGGTTTTCTTCAGCATCCGATAATTACCGACAAATTATTACCGATCATCGAATATTTGCAAAGTGACTATGAAAATATATATGCTTAATTATTGCATAAAACAATGCAATTCTACTGTAAAAGTGGTGTCTGCATAAACAAATTATTCTTATGCACTATCGAAAAAATATATTATTTAGCTGAAATCAATATGCCTGTCGTTACATACAATAAAGTTAATGTTTAATTGCCTTTCAGTGCGATAAACTATCAACACAAAGATGGTTTATTAGTTTTCTCTGTGTATCCAATACGATTCCGACCCCTACTGTCATACCGAGATTTTTCATACAAAATTACTTTGATTTGCACTTTATCAGCTGCCAACCATTCACATATTACCTGTATGTCTATCTTATCAGCCATTTGTTACTATTATAGATTTCATACCAATAACATACAACGTGTAGTCACGTGATTCTGGGAGAAACTGTTTATAATAAATAAGATAAAAAATAGAATAGGTCTCATAAGATGCAAACAACCAGATAATTTAAAAGTGTCATTTCAAATATCATGCATGATTTATTTATCATAAAATAGCAACGCTTGACACTTTAAAAAAAGAAAAAAGCATCCCTACATTCAATGACTGGTCCATAGGGATACGTCATTAATTCATTTTATAAATATTGTAACGTTGCTTTTTACGATGTCAGTATTTGAATATTTCATTTCATTTAGCAACATTATTGTATGTTTGAATTTTTGAGATTACCGAAAACAATTGTAGTCTTTAATTTTCAGTAATTGTTATGCTTTTATTTACAAAAATTAATGCCTTCTCCTACCATAGGTATAATATTAAACTGTTACAAATTTAGTCGCCGGTTTCTACCGGCGACTAATAAAAAGAAGGTGCTACAGAGTGTTGCCACATAACAAATTTTGAGAGACAGGAGGGTAGTTGTACTGCGATGAAAAATGAAGGGAAGCAACTCCTTTTTAAATGCGCCGCATAACTTGATTATCTCCCTTGTCATACTAACACAATGAAACATTTCAGGCATGTCGTTTTTGAAGACATATATTGAATAATAATAGAACTTTTATTTGAGAGGAATATACAGATATATATACAATGTATGTGGAATATGATCCGTAACATGCCAAAATGTTTCTTCTATGTAACCATAGGTAGTCCTTTCTTCCAATAATGCTGATTGTTCTCCACTATATTGTCTAATATCTATGTTCATTCTGTATCTTTTCTTACTTACTTGCAACAATGGAGGTATTTTAATACATTGCTATTTTTAGAACAACAAACTCTTTTGCTTGATTTTGGTTTAGAGATTCTACTTCACGTGCAACTTCAGTTTTGTTTATTTCTTCATTATTGCCCCCAGAAGTAATTCAAGGTATTTTCAGTATCTAATAAACCATTTTCAGTACCTTATCAACCATTTTCAAAACCTAATCAATTATTTTCAATACCTTATACTCAATCAAATATTTTCAATGACTGACCTACAATTTTAAATGCCATATCAACCAATGTCAATGCTTTATCAATCATTTTCAATGTCTTATCAACCATTTTCAAAACCTAAGCAATTATTTTCAATGCCTAATACCCAATCAACCATTTTGAATGCTTGATCTACAATTTTCAATGCCCTTTGAACCATTTTCAATACCTGATCAATTATTTTCCATGTCTAATACCTAATCAACCATTTTAAATGCTTCATCTACAATTTTCAATGCCATTTGAAAACAATTTTAAATGCCTTTTCAACCATTTTCAATACCTTATCAACTATTTTCAATACCTAATCAACTATTTTCAAAACTTTGTCAACCATTTTCAATGCCTTAACATTAGGAAACAAAATGAAGGAAACACTATTTGTATTTGACCATGATTTTTAGTTTCTGGTCATATCTCTGCTTGTCGGTCCACCTAATCAGATTTCCTTGACAACTAACCAGTATCATCTAAACATGTTAATCAAAACAATGTAAAAGAAGTGTATAAAAAATGTTCCTATCTATAACTGCAATCTCAGATAGAACTTAAAGGCAGCCACAACAAATGCAAATCTTTCCTAAGCAACCTGGCCTTAAAGTTATAAAACTTTTTTTCCGAAATCTTTCTCGAATCTCAAGATTTTCACTGGTCAGTGTACATTTTGTGGTAGTTTTTGACCAATCAAATACCTCAGGATCTAAGTTTGAGCTTAAGAGAATTGCCTTCATAACATCCAACCCTGTTCATGTTCAACCTCCAGTCATTTTGTTTCCCTAGGTGTGTTCATGTCATGGAGAGGCAGGTACAGGGCATTGGCAAATGTGTATGAAGGCAAGTATGCATGTTTCTAACGTTGGGTTTTATGATTGAGGTGGCACAACTTAGTTTGTATGAAAATATCTGACGATGTTCTGATTGATGCCGAGGGAAATTGCCCTTAAATGTGAGAGGGAAATTGCACGGTGGTAAATCATCATCACCTTTGTACTTCAAAATTAACTCTTTTAAGGGCATAGTTAGTAGCATGCCTGTGGTCTGTACTCGACAGTGAACCTTCATAAAGCACAGATTACATACATGTTCAACTTAGCTTTGAATACTTTGGGTCTTAAAATAATAAGTTAATTTAATTGGTGTTTCTAAACTTTTATTATTTTCACAGTATATATTTTTCAACAGCACAATATTTCTTTTTTTTCAATTAACATCTCACTTATATGAAAAAAATGCAATATGTTCAATGAAATAAAGATGAAATAAAACCCGATACAAATGAGAAAGTGTGACTTAAAATAACAGAATTAGCCGTCACTTTGTAAGTAATACATGTACTTACTATTTATATCAAAGTAGAAACATTAATCACCAATAGATTTGAATATTTCATGAGTAAAACATGTTCTAAAATGCTGTAAAATATATACAAATTAAATTCTAATATCACAAACATGGGCGTGAAGCAGTTCAGTTCACCCGTAAAATATTTCACCAATAAAATTTCTCAAAATGTTAAAAAACAATGGACAATATTGTAAAATAATGTTACTATTGCATGATAAAACTTTAATGAGTACTCCGACTAAAAAAATACAAACAAAAAAGAAACCATATGACCGTATTAAAATGTAAATTTCTTAACATTCATTTGGTGTGTGTTTTTAAAATTGAGTCTTCAATAAAGAGAATAAACTGCAAAAAATCTCAACAAGATTGAGTCTAAAAATAACCACATATAAATTACATTAAAATTGGCTTCTTGATTGTCTATATAAAAATTCTAAATGCTATTTTGATCAATAAAAACTCATTTTGGCTTCCAGAAAATAAAAAAAGATCAAAATAACTGATTGAACAGCCCTATAAAGTCAGTGACTATATTTCAAAGCAAGATATATTTCTTATCAAGTTAAAAAAAAAAAAATTAATCAAGAAAAATTTTTCTTACTAAAAGAATGTATATTTTAACAGTACATTTCCAAAACATTTTAAAAGAAAATGTCATGAATTATATATAGTTTGTAAACCGGTAAATAAGGTATCACAAGGTGTTGTATTCAAATCATTTATACAATTACATAGGGTAAATCGCCTATTTTTTTTTACAGAGAAAAAACCTTTCCAGAGTTCTCAGTTCCTTAGCACTTACATGTAACAAATATATATTACAATAATAAAGACATTTTACAGATGAATTAGATGCATTTTACCACCTATGCATTTCATTAGAAAAAGTTTACAACAATATTAAATAAATATTTTCATTTGACAGATATGAAGAAAGAACCCCGTAAGAACAACCCTTGTCTCTCGTCAAAACAGAATTAATTCTTTCAAGAGAGTTATCATAAGTTATTAAAACCACTTAACTATACTGTTAAGAAACATGGGTGCAAATTAAATATCACAAAATTTAAAAACCCTGAATTAAACATAATTTTTACTGGTTTTATATAGAAAAAGAAGAGTGCATTTAGGAGAATAAAAAACCTGAACTTCAGGCAAATCTCTGAAAACTTGTAGCCCATGAAGGAATTAACTATTTTTTAATTCTCTAGAAATTACAAATATTTAAACATTTGAGTGGTTACATATTCATGGCAATATTTGAAATCATTTACTAACACTGAAGATTGTTCATTTTTCAACTATTGGTGTATATTGATAGACTAAAGGTTTTTTTCTTAAAAGTCTTACAAGAGGGCCATGATTGCCCCTTTATTGCTCACCTACATCATTATTTCATTTACCTATCATCTTGTCCATGGCAAGTTAAGAGTATCAAACCCTTAATAAAAAGCTATTTTTTAGCTACACAACACTTGACCCAAGTGACTTTAAAATGAAAATTTTATGTTAGAGTGAGCCAACCAGTAGAGAGCCTGGTTAGACTGCATCTCCTTGGATGCTTAGGCTGGCCTGGCTCTACACTGGTGGCAAAGGCTTCAGTCACTTACCGTTCCAGCAAGGTTAAGGATTTTTAAGTCAACATTTGCACTATGTGCTTAGGTGAGCTAAAAATAGTATTAAAAAATGTCAACATAAAACAATGTAATGAATTATCTTTAACAACATAATATAGATAATTTCTAATGAATTTTTTTTTTAACTTTTTTTTCTGTTTTACCTTTAAAAAACATTAACAATTTTCACAACTTGCTTCAGAACATGGTACATCATTCATACTTAAAATGATACTATTCAAAACTGTCTTAATAGAAAACAAATGTGGCAAAAAACTTTCATGTTTGAACAAGATGACAGTCACTGACATTGACAGATATACCTTTCCCTGACATGCACCTATGAGCAGTCCTTATACATATAATATCTTATCATTTAAACAAAAAAATATTTGCCATAAACTGGTTGCTGAGTAAATCTTAAAGAGTCATCACAACTTTACTTTACAAAAGACAGATTATATTAATAGATTCATATTCATATCATGAAAAGACAAGCATATACATACTAGAATGTACCTCTGCTTTTTATCAATATATATATATTATATAATAGTTCTATAGTCTAAGCACTTGAAAGCTTGACACCGTGTGTCTTCTTATTAAAGTTTCAACAAGCTTTTCCATACTCTTGATCACAAGTCAATGTCACAGTCTATAATTCTATAAATAGCTACACAGCTCCATGAAACATGTCTTTATGATAGTCTGGTATTATGTTAGTGAACATCAAACTTGTGAATAGAAAACAAAACAGCGAGTTTCAAGAGATCTGAACAGTTTGGAAAGCCCCTTTTCTTCAACTTTTCTTTTTACCCACAATTCATCATGAATACCTAAAAGTTTTTTAATTATCTTCTTTAATATCAAAGATTTCTTTGTGGAGTTCCGGAAATTCTGAAATCACGTTCGCCCGTTGCATTTTCATTCCATTCAAGGCCATCGAATGCTTTCTATTCACGTTTCTAAACACAGGGATTATGCTCATCAGCCGAGCAAATTTGCTTTCATAGTCATTATGATTATTTCTCATTTCATAATACAGTGACTGTAAGAAAAGTGTGTTCAATTTTTCCACAGCCAGTATATTGGTCAGTCCCTCGCGTTCTGTAATACACAAGAGTAAAAATGAAATAATACAAATATTATGGAAATATACATCAATACAACATCTTTTCTTCCTGATTTACAAGCAACAAGAACTCTATTTAACAAATTTCTTTTAAATCTAAAGCAGATAGGAATAGAAAATATGATCACATAACATAATTGCTCATAAAAATGGCATTTCTTTTAAACTCTTTGTGTATATAATAAAATAAAAAACCCTAATCCAAGATATTTAGTGCAGATTGGACAAGAAAACACTATTAATGGGCGTTTTTACCAATCAAGGCATTTATTTAAGGGGCCAAGAATGGGCACAGTATTTCAGACAAGAATGGACACAGAGTAAAACCATAAACTTTCCTAAAGCTAATTGGACAACTTCCTCACATGAAAGAATCCAAATCCTTGGCCAGAATCCAAACACACCATGGTAAGGGGTGTGTGATTTAAAGCCTCCGGACCTTCACCACTGAGCCGTAGAGTCTCCATACTGGTAGATAATAAGATAAGAAACAACACCAAGTATTAAAACAAGTCATACCTGGACACATTATAAGGGCAGCAGAAAAGATTCCAATTTCCTCATCTGTCAATCTGAGTGGGTTCATTTTCTCGGCAACATTAAAGAACTCATCAACAAATGGACCCATTGGCATGTTCTTTATCATCATTCTGAAATATGAAAAAATAAATTAAGGTATCACACTACACACTATCACATTTTAGTTGACAAAAGACTGTCACATTTTATCTGACAACAAAATATCGCATATCAGACTACAGGCTGTCATGTCTTTCCTGACAACAAAATCTTGCATATCAGATTACAGGCTGTCACAACTTGACATGTAAGATTACAAAGTGTCAAAAAATTTCATTTTTAATATTAATGAAAGGAAAATGATAGTGATAAATTTTAACAAAACTTTCATCTATTTCTAAAATTTCTGCAAAGAAAGCATTCAAGTCCTTGAAAAGCAAATTGGTATCAAACAGTCACAATTTGAGCCGCGTCATGACAAAACCAACATTATGCGTTTGCGACCAGCATGGATCCAGACCAGCATGGATCCAGACCTGTTCGCTATCAGTTTCTCTACTTGTAATAGAGTTGCTAAGCGAACAGCATGGATCCTGATCAGACTGTGCGGATGCGCAGGCTGGTCTGGGTCCATGCTGGTCAAAAAACGCATTATGTTGGTTTTGTTGTGACGCGGCTCATTTATCTTTTAATTTCTACCTATAAATTTTGAAAATAAATACATGATTAGCAGGGATAAATTTACCTGGGGCATTTCATTTCCATGGGAGGGTCAAACATTTCCTCCTTAACATGGTCTACTAGAAGGCACATACGGCAAAGCAGAATCTCAAATGAACCTTTCTTAATAAGCACAATTTGGTCATCCTGTTGAATCTCACCAAAACCTGCAAATAATAAACATAATACCATTCTAAATACTAACACATTTTAAGAAATTTGGGCTTATTAGAATTCATGTCGCTTTATGTTTTTCCATTATATTGGATTAGAATTATTCTGTGAAAGCGTGTGATATACGTTGTCCATCTATCCATCCTGATGCAGAATAATTGGTTTTCAACTGATTGACCAATTACAGTTGCCTCCCTTGGAATGCAACACAATATTAAGATGATACATTTTTTTCTCTCAGACAATGGTATCTTGAACAGATAAAATACCCTCCCTCATAGGCACTGATATCTTTTTCAGGTACAATTCCCTTCCTCGTAGAAAATAATTTCTTGAGCTGATACCATTCCGTCCCCTACACAATGATATCTTGAGCAGGTACAATTCCCTATGAGCAAATACTATTTCCTCCCCTGTACACAATATCCTGATGAGGTAAAATTTCCTCTCTATCAATAACAAAACAATATTTTCTAAAAACATAAAATTAGAAAATGGTGAGGAATCTTACCGGGCAGTTTTTTGCAAAACTTGACAGCTTGAGTTATTTCAAACACCATATTTTTTATCATCTTTTGCCACATATGAGACGGGCTGATTGACAACTTTGACAGATCAGGCTGAAATAGAAAACAACAAAAACTTTTTAATACAACAATGTAACTCTAATCTGACATCCCTTTTTGGACTTTTCCCTGTGATTAAACAATAGCAAGATTTGTACTGTAGAATTTCTATGTTACCAAGGTAAAAATATCTATTCAAAATCCATATCAGCCACAACAAAGCCAAATGTTCTTGTGTCTAAATTTTAAAATTATGGTCACTTTTGGTCACGAAAATAAGTACTCTGTGTTTCAAAGCATTACTCCGAAAGCCTCATTGGGAAAAACAAAGAAGAAATTCAAAGTACACAATTTGGTCTTAGACTATGAAAAAGTTAGAACTTCTTTTTTGTTAGTATACTTCTTGCAGCAAATTCTCTATTTTTCAAGGTATTGACCACCTTACTTTAATGCAATAATTGTAAGGAAAGTTATGAGTATGTTAAGCAATAATTATATCAAATATGGGTTAAATCATAATCAATAGTAAGAAAATCAAAACCCACTTACATGCAAAATAACCATTTAATAAAAAAACTTTAAATGAAATCTTACCATGCCACCTCTGGTAATTTTCTCAGCAAAATTCCTATCAGCCTCGGCAACTTTTGCCCTCGTAGGCGTTACTGTCGTCAAGTGGGCCTCGGAAACTGTCTGTATCACCTGATCAATCAGCTGTTGTCGCAGTTCAGAGGGCACCTGCTTTACCTCCTCCATTATCCTTTCAATATCAATCTCATTGGCATTATCATCTGGTTCAGGCAGATGCTCCATCATCATCATATCTGAAAACATTTGAAATGACACTGATAAAAGTCAATATTCTTCAAGCATTTGAGTAATACTGATGAAAATCTATATTCTTCAAAAAAAAGTCTAAGAGCATTTAGACCACACTGATGAAAATATATATTCTTCAAAAAAAAAATCTATGAGCATTTGGGTGATACTGATGTAAAATTATTCTTTTTTTTTTTCTTTTTTTTTGTGTGAAAGAATTTAGGTGACATTGACGAAAAATTAATTTCTTCCTGAAAGCATTTGGCTGATATATAGAGAGATGAAAAATGAAATTTAGAATATATAAAAAATCTAATTAACGCTGCTGAACATTTACTTATATAGTTACATTAAAGCAGCTATTATAATGTCATTAAGTGAAAAAAATCAATTTAAAATGGCAAGGTTTTTTTTTAACAAATTTCTTCTCTTATTACTTATACTATTCATTCAAAATAGCTTATATTAAAACAAAAATATTTTTAAATCACTGAATGAGTATCAATAATAAGTATCAATGAAACTCAAGTTTTTTTATATAGGTGCATCAAGCCATATTTAATATCATTCAAATACCATAATTCATTGGCTTCAAAATTAAAACAAATTTCATTTATTTCTTTAAAAAATTCTTGAAAGACCCATACACAAGCAATATTGTTTTCCGCTACAAAATTTACTGTCAGTCACTTTTGCCTTACCGTCGTAAATTAAATGCTTTAAAATCTCTCAAAAGTGCTGTATTGATAGCTTCACCAAAACTTTCATAGTTTAGTTAACAAAATTGGGAGATCACTGAACTTGTAAAAAACCCAGTGAAAAAAAAGGAACACACATACCTGGCATGTTTCCACTCATCATTCCCGACATCATGCTTCCATCTCCCATCATCTCCATCATGTCCGGCATCATCATCATCATATCTGGCGACAGTTCCGGCATTTGAAATGGTGACGCAGCATCAGGCATTGGAGGCATTCCGCCCATCATTGAATTATTTGAATTATCAACAGATGTCATGGTCGAATAATCTCTATTATCAAGTCCAGGTTCAACTTTAATGTCTGCTGTCTCCGTCAGTTTGTCTGTAGTGTTTGTACTCGACAATGTGCGATTATTATCAACCGGCGAGGTTTTATCAGAAGTGATATTAAAATTGTCTAGGTCCTCGATAATTCCAGATTTTGAATCGATACCCAGATGGTTTTTATTCTGATTGTTTTGATCTACTACGTTTGGTGAGTGACTTGCGTTACTCTGAGGACTGCTCAATGTGCTGGACGTATATCCGGACTCGGTACCGTTTTGTTTTCCAGGTTGAACATTCTTCTTGGCTTTCTGATTGTCATTACTATTATTATTACGCTGATGCTCTCTGAAACTGACCTGTGCAGCAGACAGGAACGCTTGCATCAGTTCAGACTTGAAGGTCCCGTTCTGTTGGAGAAGTCTCTGGAGTTCAGCCATTCTGAGTTTATAAAGTTCTGCAGGTGATGGGTAGGGTGCAATAGGCACGTTGGTCTCACGTTTAGTCTCGCTACCACTCGAGTCTTTTAATCGCTTTGGTCTTCGGCCTAGCCTGGATGCTGCAAAGAGAAGAAACAAGAAATTTACTTAAGGATTTTTTTTACAATACAATAGAATATAAAATATCCTTCTCGATTCTGTGAAATGCATCTTGAAAAAAGATAATTTTCTGGTTAAATATGTATGCATTCATTCCACACAAAACCTAGAAGCAACCAATATTATCCATGCAGAATATAAATAGTAAATCTAAATTGTAAATCTCTCCATGAACTGAGAGAAAAGCGAAGTCTGAAAATCAAAATTATTAAATCATGGCTACAGTAACATGTATACAAAAAAATACAATATGAAACCACAACAATAAAAGAAACTTAACAATACTTACAGTTAGGTTTGTAACTAAACAAAACTCAACTTTTCTTTAAAAGAAAATAATATTTCTAAATTTTTATTAAGTCCGGAAAGCACAAAACTGATCATGAAGTAACTCACCTCAAAGCAAGTAAAGAATTGGGAAGAGGATGGACCTCATGCTCTTATATACCCTTGAAAAACAAAAATTCGATCAACTAACCTAGTTTTTACATGACCATCGTTCATGTACAAAACTGCTATTTTAGCAGTTTTTCCTTTCTTTAAGCGAGAGGGTAGCCTGGAGGTGTATTGTGTTAACAATACATCAACAAAACGGTCAAACAAACCACTGTTAAGGGCATTTATATAAACATAGAGGTAAAAATAGGACATAGAAGCGGTCATCTAGTTTTTCCTAGAGTACATTTCAGCTTTTATTATTTACATTTGTATATTTAGCATCACATTGCAAGCAACATCCCCTTTCTTATACAATAGACAGCTCCACCTCGATCAGCTGCTTTAATCTATATATAACAGATACTCTATAGTGGGGAATAACAACCAATGGTTCATCAGCATTACAGAAATCAGGCAGAATATGCGTGCTCAGTGGAAGAAAAGCTACGATAACTTGATAAACATTTTTTACTTTTTAGTTTAAGTACAATTCCAGACAAAGAAATAATCCTGAAACCTTGACTGATATATTTTATTCAATCATTTGGGAAAAGACGGTTGAAAGAAGAAGAAACACTTTTGAAAACATTTCAATCAGTTTTAAATAAACAACAAGTTAGTCATAACAGAATGACTAATAAAAGCAAGCAACAACAACACCTGTTCATTCATTTCTGCCTTGTAACAAAAATCAAGGTAATTAAAGATGTACCATTCTTGAATTGCTGACAAAAGCTTGAAGCACACATCATTTCATGTCATTAATTACAATACTTATGTCATCTTAGTGCAGAATGGGTTAACTCCTTATGTCATTTAATAGGAGTTGACGCCTTACTGCACTAAGGTGACAATATTGTCTTATGTTGATGCCAATCAAATTTAAAATATTGTAGTATGTTTATGCCATATGTGTCTAATTGTCTTATGTTTTTGTCATATGTGTCGAAAAATTTAATATATTGTCTTATGTTTAATTTATATAAATAGAAAATATTTTCTTAGGTTTATGCCAAATATATCTAACATATAGTCTTAAGTTTATGATAAATATTTCTCAAACATTACCCTATGTTTCTAAATTATTGTCTAGTTTATGACATTATTACTTTGTTTTAAGCTTGTGTTACAGCACAGACAAAGACAAAGTCATTAACAAATCAATCTTTTCTTCCTTTTTTGTGTGTGCAAAAGCTTCACTACTGACTTATAAAAATAGACCTCTATTTTCATTCAGAAAGTGCATATAGTGCATAAAAAGCCTCATTTCTCTTCATTCATAACAAAAAACCCAACGATCAGCTGTTCATGATGAAAATTCAGCTGTTTAGGGGTTACTATCTAGAATGTTTTATTCCCCCCATGATATTCATGAGCTGGCCACACGAGAGAATCATTTTGTTTTTCAACAAGAAACACTACCTGTACACCAGGTTGCAACACTAGAAGGGCAAGGTGTTTCAAATAGCCAGATTTAATATACAACATTATAAACCATGCGAAAACAACATGATTGTTCAGACTTCAGCATCTATAAGTATAGTGGGTGTATTTCTAGGACTCATAAGTGACTGAACTTTTGAGCTAAACAATTTTTAGGAAGTTACCTAGCTCAGCAAAAAATGTCTGGGGAGATTAATAACCTTTGGGTTGATTTGTTAGGTTGTTTTTAAAAAAATTGCTGTTAATTTAAATTGTTTCTTTATTCTAACTCCTGTACTTCTTAGTATTTTCTTAGCCCTTTTGGGGTATTTATAAAATGGCTCTTTTTGGTACTTGCAAGCACTTAAATATTTAGATGAATATATGTTGTATTTCAATTAATTCCATATCATACATATAAGCTTCCTATGTGCATTTTGGTCCAAACTCTTAATAATTAAGTGTTTTACTTAATGAATAAGTGAAAAACTTATATAATACAATTGAGAAGGGCATTTTTTTTTTTAATTTTTGTGATTTCATTGGTGGACACTAAATTCGAAAGGTGGTATGCTTTTAACCCTGCCTTATCTTTGATATCATGTTATTAGTTATGAATTTTTTTTTAATCACCAAAATATATAAAGGCCACCTTTTATGCACCTATGAATCAGAGCAACCTTGATTATCACAGTTCTTGCAATTATCTAAAGAGAGAGTGAATTATACATTATACCATTATCAGATAATTTCTAAAAGGGTGATGCATTTTACACTAGGCTGATACATTTTACACTTGCTGATAAATTTAACACTGGGCTGATACATTTTACACTTGCTGATAAATTTAACACTGGGCTGATGCATTTTACACTTGCTGATAAATTTAACACTGGGCTGATGCATTTTACACTTGCTGATAAATTTAACACTGGGCTGATGCATTTTACAATGGGCCGACAAATTTAACAATAGCTGAAGCATTTTACACTAGTCTGATGTAAATTTACTAGGCTGATGCATTTAACACTTGGCTGATATATTTAACACTTGGCTAACACATTTTTCACTGGGCTTTTGCATTTTACACTAGACTGATGCATTTTACACTGGGCTAATGTATGTAATACTGGGCTGACACACTTAACACTGGGCTGACGCATTTCACACTGGGCTGACGCACATAACACTGGGCTTTACACTGGGCTGACGCATTTTACACTGGGCTGACGCATTTTACACTGGGCTGACGCATTTTACACTGGGCTGACGCATTTTACACTGGGCTGACGCATTTACACTGGGCTGATGCATTTTACACTGGGCTGACGCATTTTACACTGGGCTGACACATTTTACACTGGGCTGACGCATTTTACACTGGGCTGACGCATTTTCACTGGGCTGACGCATTTTACACTGGGCTGACACATTTTCACTGGGCTGACGCATTTTACACTGGGCTGACGCATTTTACACTGGGCTGACACATTTTACACTGGGCTGTCGCATTTTACACTGGGCTGACGCCTTTTCACTGGGCTGACACATTTTACACTGGGCTGACGCATTTTACACTGGGCTGACACATTTTACACTGGGCCGACGCATTTTACACTGGGCTGACGCATTTTCACTGGGCTGACGCATTTTACACTGGGCTGACGCATTTTCACTGGGCTGACACATTTTACACTGGGCTGACGCATTTTACACTGGGCTGACGCATTTTCACTGGGCTGACACATTTTACACTGGGCTGACGCATTTTACACTGGGCCGACGCATTTTACACTGGCCCGACGCATTTTACACTAGACTGACACATTTTTAACATTGGGCTGATCCATTTTACACTGGGCTGATGCATTTATAACACTAGACTGATGTATTTCACACTAAACTGATGCATTTTACACTATGCAGACTTCAAATCAATCAAAAGTGATTAGACTGTGTAACCAGTATAGAGCTGGTGACAGCCTACTATAAGCTATATACTGTTGAATCCCCCTTAAAATACAATATATATATTGAAATCCCTTATAATCATAATTCACTGTTCCAAATTCAAACCTTTGAAAACAAATGTTAAACAGACTCAAACCAGTTTGATTTTTGTTGAAAATACATTTCTATACTAAAGCTCATCAAATTCTTGGTCAGTGCTTTCCATATATATAAATCGAAACCAATTAACCAACATACAGAATATTTTAAATCGGTGGATGAATGATATTATATAAAGGTAAAAAGTTCATCATACTGCCGATTTATTAAGCATTTTTCATTGGTTGATTTCTAGGTTTCTTATCCAGCTACCTATATTTTCTATGTTTATTCATTTCTCTTGGCCTTTGATATTGTAAATATGATTTGGTTACACTAAAAATAACTTTTTTCTTTTACTTTTTAATTCTCTTTACTGTATAATTCATTATTTTTGGTACCAGCAAAATAACAACATGTTGTTTTATTCTATACAAAGTTGTTTTTCCTAACATTTTTCTTTGTTTTCTTTTATTTTCTTGTCTTTTATTTTTTGTCTTATTAATTTTGCTAAAATTGGTGAACACTTTACTGTATCTTTTGCTCTGTTAAATTTATTAAATTGACATTGAATTTCTTTTCTTTAAAATTTGGTCAATTCAATTAAGTAATATTAGTATTTTTAAAGTACTTGAAGCCAATAGTACATGTTCAGATTGCACAATTTTTGTGCAACTTATCCGTGTTTTGGATTTGGTGTCTCATCAATTGTTATATGTACATATTGCAATTTTATCAAAAAAATAATTTTCAGTAAGCCTTTCATTTGCCATAGTTGAATACAGATAAATGTCAACAGCAACATCAAAACATAATTTACGTTTCTTTTGACCATAATCTAGGTGACAAGTTTGTATATGTACATTGGTCGATAAATAAATAACCTCAATTTGAAATCTAGAATACGTACTCATTTCTACTAAAGTCAAGTATGACGTACTACAAAGTATGACCCCATTACAGATAATTACCTCTTCAGTTTAAATGGAGAATGTCCACATCATTAAAGCTATATATGGAAATTAACAGTTACAGGTATTGGCATGGTCAT